AGAAATCCGAGCTTAACCTGATTATAATCAATGTAATGAAACAAGTTATATGAATTGTTGAATGTGAAACTGATGATGTGCCCTGTAAACTTTCACTCAATCCACAATAAAAACCTTCCATTAAAAAAAAAAAACTTTACTCACATGGGATATCAAAAAGATTGTCCAATGATTTCTGCATTCCGTTGGATCACCTCTCTTTGGAATGGACACAAATTTGGATCTCTTCCAATCAGTCAGTCAGCCAGATAGTTGTCTTCCAAATATCTTGGCAGAGATGAGTGAGTGCTTCCAGTGCCGCCTCACTTTCTTGAAAGATTTCAATTTTTGTTCCATCAATTCCTGGTGCCTTGTTCTTTGCCAATTCCTTCAATGTACCTTGAACTTCTTCCTTCAGTATCATTGGCTCTTGATCATATGCTATCTCTTGGAATGTTGAAAAGTGAGCATTTCTTTTTGATACACTGACTCTGTGTATTCCTTCCATCTTCTTTTGATGCTTTCTGTATCATTCAATAATTTGCTCAAAGAATTCTTCAGTATGCCAAGTTGAGGCTTGAATTTTTTACTCATTTCTTTCAACTTAAAAAATGCTGAATGCATTCTTCCCTTTTGGTCTTTTAACTCCACATCTTTACACAGTTCATTATAATAGTTGATTTATGTCTCTTCTTGAGCTGCCTTTTGAAATTTTCTGTTCAGCTCTTTTACCTCCTCATTTCGTCCACTTGCTTTCAGATCTATATGCTAGTGAATAAGCTTCAAAGTCTCTTCTGACATCCGTTTTGGTCTTTTCTTTCTTCCTTGTCTTCTTAATGACCCTTCACTTTCTTCCCATATGATGCTCTTGATTTCATTCAACAACTCCTGTGGTTTTCTATTATTGTTGTTTAGTGCATCACATCTGTTCTTGAGGTAATCTCTGAATTTGGTTAGGGTATGTGGAAGGTTCTATTTTGAATCTCGTGGACTTGTTTCAATTTTCTTCAGTTTCAGCCTGAGATGCGTATAAGCAATAAATGGTCTGTTTCACAGTCTATCCCTGGCCTGGTTTTAGCTAATGATATGGAGCATTTACACAATCTCTTCCCACAATTGTAGTAATTTGGTCAGGGAAGGGTTAGAGTTAACCAAATGAAGATAATGCCTTATGCCATGCATAGACCTAGAGGGAAGATATGTCAAGAAAAAAGAGCTTCACCTTTTGATATTTTTAAATAGCGATTTCTATGATATTGTAGTGATATGTTGTAACTTACCCTCCTATTTTAACATTAGAGCAACGTCATTCTGTGTATTATCATTCATGTGGTTAAAATAAAGTACCACATTTTAGTATATAGGTCTATGCCATTGCCTGGGAGTCTCTGAGTGGCACATTTAAGCAAAAGTTGGTGGTTTGAATCCAGCCAGAAGTGCCTCAGAAAAATGACCTGGTGATCCACTTCTGTAAGGTCACAACCACAAAAACCCTAGTTCTGCTCTGAAGCACATGGGGTCACCTTGAGTCAGAATTGACTGAACAGCACTGGAAGGCCTTTGCTAGTTATTCTTCCACCAATGAAGCCTCCTTCATAGCTGCGTTGGGGAATTGGGGAACTAATATGGAGGAGACATGAGCAGCCTCCCTACAAGGTTTGGAGGAAACACCTGCTCTCTGTCGGTGCATCCTGGACCAGAAAGTAAGAACAATTCAGCTAACCACACAGTCTTTTTTCCAGGTGGAAAGGAGAAAACGTGGCCACCACTGAAGTCGCTGACACGGTAGGACTGGTTGATTTTGTCCAAGAAGTTAATGTTTATGGAGTGCCCGTGCCAGGTATATATAAAATATGTAAGTCCTTGTCTAAAACATAGTTCTGGTGTGGAGCTGTAGGATAAGCACTGGACTGGTAACCACAGGTCCCTGGTTCAAACCTACCAGCTGCTCCTTGAAAACCCTATACAGGATTGCTGAGACAGAACCAACTCAATGGCATTCAACAACAACAACAGCATAGAGCCGTCAGTAAACACACAATCACCAGGGAGGAATTTGAAAGCTGAGACCCAGGTGATGGAGAAAAGACCTGCTCCTTCACCCTCCCCATCTATGATTGTTGTTGTTTTTAAGTGCCTTCAAGTTGGTTCTGATCCATAGCATCCTTGTACAGGGTTTCCAAGGAGTGGCTAGTGAGCTTGAACCACCAACCTTTTAGTTCAAATCAACTTTGCAGTCCCACGCATTAACTCACAGCACCATACCAGGAATCCTATGATTACAGCTAAGTAATTCAGAGAAGGTGAGCTGGACTGCCTCTGGGTCTGTTGGATCAAGTACAAGATATATTACTAGTTGCCACTGTCCTCACAAGAAAACATTGTTAGTTGCTCTAAACACCTCTCCATTTACAGCCCTGCCTGACTGGGAAGAATTGGTATTGGATCTGCTTTCTCTGTGGAGAACATAACCTATTGGGAATAACAAACATCAACATGAGGGAACAGACAGCTCACCCTTGCACCTCACCTTCACCTTTCCTGTCCCTCAGCTTCTCTGAAAAGCAGGAATCCAAAGCTATTAGGAGTCTTGATTAAATAAATAAGTCTCAGAGGTGGCCTTTGTGCCTGGAAACATGACAACAGACCAACCCAGTAGCCTGAAGAACAACCGGAACTCAGTCATTGATGGTGGTGGAACAAGATGATGAACTAGAGTCAAAAACAACTTCCTTTATCCACCAGGTTTAACTGTTTCCCACCCCAGATGTTTTCATCAAGGCTACGAAGATGATTACCATCATAGCATCTGGAGCAAGCCTGGTGGTGTGTGCCCTCAAGTCAATGCTGAGTCATGTTGACCCTATGGGACAGAATACAACAGCCCAATAGGAATTCCTAGGCTGTCACCATTAGGGGGAGCAGATAGATGACCAGCTCTTTTCTCCAAGGACCTGCATTCCATTCTCCAAGGACCTGACACTGCCAATTATTTGCCATGTAACCATGAACAAGGGTCTTAGCATCTTTGAGTCTATGTAGGGTCACTATGATTTGGATTCTACTAAAGGCACTTATCAATAAAAAGCAACATAGGGCTATTGCTAAGGATTCAAAGAAATAATCTTTAAAACACATTCAAAAAAAGTGTTTATACTTCAGCTTATGTATGAGGACCTTCAAAATTTCATGGAAAAATGAAATTAAATGAAATTGAAGTTTTCCACAAACTTTTTGAAACCCATTATACATAAATTATCAGTCATAAATCAATCACATTAGAATACATTCAATATAGATTTGAAAGAAATAATCCATCTCTCCAAAAACAATCAATACCATTCTACTCTCAGGTCAGTTCTCTGAACTAACAAAGCATCATGAATGTATTAAACAAGTCAAGAGAAAATAGCTCATTTTATCTCACTCTATTTCTAGGTCATGAGGGTCGAATTGGCATGGCCTCTATCAAGATAAAGGAGGACTGTGAATTTGATGGGAAAAAACTCTTTAAGCACATTGCTGATTACCTGCCTTCTTATGCAAGACCCCGGTTTCTAAGAATACAGGTGAGACCTTGTTCCAGCATCCCTCATCTCTGAGCCAATTACTCCCCTCCTACCCTGACAACCACAATTGCCACATTGTTCACTACCCTTTCCAGGCAGCTCAGAAAGAAGTGTCCTTGATCATTAAGAAAAAAGAAATATATCACTAGTAGAAACCCATTCCTGATTCCTTTCTCCCTAAAACGACAGACCAGATATTTCAGCAACAGTCTTAGCAAGTGGCTCCCTCAGTCTGTGTTTGATGAGCTATGACAGACACTTACAAGAGAAATACTCTGACTCTGATCTTTGTTGTTTCCAGTTTGAAAGAATGGAAAAATCCATCCAGGTCTTACCTAACTGGGCATCATTAGTCAGGTGGAAGTACCCAGGCTTAACTATCATCACTGGGGTGTTGTTTGTCTTTATCAAACATTAACCCTCCCACTTTTGGACTCAGTTGAACACTCCCACTTTCAGACTTTAAGCTCTGTGATTCTGTAACTGTTGATAATCATAAAGTACTGGCAGAGAGACATGAAATACCCTCAGATCATCATCTATTAATTGGAGGAGAGACCATTCTTCAGTGTAACAAATAAACAAGTTGAGAACTCAGAGTTGTCTGTGTGCAGGTTGTTCCCGCCTCCACCATTAATGAGGATATTTCAATAATAAGTGAAACCGCCCGGAACAATAGGAGCTACCTCTTTGTAGGAAATGGGCTCACACAAATAGTTCACTGTTGGCAACCCCTCACTCTGTGAGAGTGATTTTAAAGCTTTGAGGAAATGAAAAGTACCTCCCCAGTAGCCCCTGAGTGGAGATTCTGAAAACAGACTTGATCAGAATCATAGAAAATGTTCCCTTTCATAGCTATCGGGTGCTCCAGACAGAGCCCTCTTGGTGCAGTGGTTACACACTTGGCTGTAACCAGTAGGTCGGCGATTGAACCCCCACCTGCTGCATGGGAGAAAGTTCTGGCAATCGCTCCTACAAAGATGACAGCCTAGGAAACCCTAAGGGACAGTTCTAGTCTGTCCTAAAGAGTCTCCGTGAGTCTCAATGTCCTCAACAGCACACAACAACAAATGGACTGCCGTTGTCACTACCTCCTTGTGCTGCACCCTAATCTGTTTGCAAATACTACCACCATGTGGATTGTTGCATGTTTTTCAGGACACCATTGAGATCACTGGAACTTTCAAGCATCGCAAAGTGACCCTCGTGGAGGAGGGCTTTAACCCTGCAGTCATCAAAGATTCTTTGTATTTCTTGGATGACCAAGCAAAAATGTATGTGCCTATGACTGAGGACATTTATAAGGCCATAAATGAGAAAACTCTGAAACTCTGACTTTCTAGGAGGATAACTCATAATATTCCCAGAAAGATATGGAAGGTGCCTGGGACAGTCACTGGAAATAATCTAAGTTAAGGTTGATTGAAGATGGTGATGTACAATTACTTGTAGGAAATTATGATTTTTGTAGGAAATTATGATTTTTATGATTTTTTAACTACACCTGAACCTTTGTGAGTGAAAAGATTTAAAGAGAATTCTTTTTCAATTAGCCTTACTGTTTGTAGTTGCCCACTGAGCCTGTTGGAAGAAGGACACTATTTTTTTAAATACGTAATAAAATAGGTGAGCACTGATTCATGAGGTGGCACTGTTTCTCGTATTCTTTCCTGATGCTAAATTCAAACCCTGTGACAGCCACTCTAGAGTCCAACAGCCTCACTGGTCACATTCCACAAGTGTCTCTCTCACAGTAGTAATGGTATTCTAGGTAACAAGAGGAGAGGAGTGGATCACAAATGGATCACCAATGGAAATTCGTCTCCAGTGTGAGAAGGTAAACTCTCCCACCCACAAGCATCCCAGCTACCATGTACACACAGCGTTAACCCACAGAAGATAAAGCCATCTGCTGGGACAGCCCTGGCAGGAGCCATAAATCTGTGACACCAGAGTTCTGTGTATAAAAATGTTCAGCAGACATGTTTTAGCTTCATCAGAGACTGCACACGCACATATCTTCAGGATTCCGTAGGGAATATTGATGAGAGAATCCAATCATAAATGAAGATGGCAAAGTGGGGGACAACCACTACTCTGCTTCAGGCTGGTGTTTTGGGGGGGAAACACGATCTTCTGACTATTCAGAAAATGAAAGTCCAGATATTTATGTAATCCTTTCAATGTTTAAATGGGAAATATCAACAGTTTTAAAAACTATACATACATGGTAAACAAACTATATCTGTGGAACAAGTAAGTCCCTGATATCTCGTGAACACCCTTGTACTCCCTCTGGTCATGCATGGCTTGGGCAGTGCTACACGCACCTTAGACCTGAGCTGGTTTCACATCACAGTCAGTCTCCTGCCTACAGAAGCCTGTTCAAGGGCCTGGGCCATTTCCCAAGGCACAGGAGGTTCTGAGGACTTTCTGAAGGTGGATCTGTCCAGACACTCAGTTCCCTGCCTTCCTGTGCACAACTCTTTTACCTCTGTGTGTGTCAACTACAACCAGAGTTCCCAGGAGCGGGTACCTGGAGGCAGCACTCAAGACACGTCCTTATGTAGAGCTGGTCTTTGCCATAGGACCAAGTATACATCCCAAAAGGGTGACCCAAGTTCACCCCAACTCTGGTGCCCTTCCAGGCTCCCCATAAGTAGTGGAGCTTCCTTCCCCTAGAGGACTTGCAGAGTTGCTCAGAGAGCTGACTGAACCACTCTTCTACAGAGTAGCCCCCGTTAGGCCCCAGGCAAACACATCTAGGGATCCTCATTGATAGATGATATGAGTCATAATTACACCTCCAACATGGCGCTAAGATTTTTTTTGTTTGTTTAATTCTCTTCACTTTTTTGGTTGACTCTGAAAAAAATAATGACCAGAATCCCTGCCTCCACTAATATGTCTAACAATACACAATCTCAGAACTTGAAGACAGTCTAAGGAAAACTCTGAACATTTTTGCTTCTTGTCAGGAATTTACAACTGCCATTGCTTGCGCTCAAGCTCTGGTAGCATAGTGGTTACAAGTTGGACTGCTAACTTCAAGATCAGCAGTTGAAACCTACCAGCTGTTTTGCAAGAGAAAGATGAGGCTTTCTGCTCCCTTAAATATGTACAGCCTGAAACCCTATACAGGCTTGTTATGAGTCGGAACCGACTCCACAGTTCATCACCACCAGCAGCACCATTGCTTAGGGTAAGGAGCCCTAGGGGTATAGTTGGTTAAGATTTTAGGCTGCTAACTACAAAGTCAGTGGTTCAAACCCACATTTCTCTGCAATCAAAAATAAGGCTGACTGATCCCATAATCTCGGACAACCTAAGAAGCAGTTCTGATGTCCTTTAGGGAACCTATGAGTCAGAATTGACTTGATGGCAGCAGATTTGTGTTGGTTTGTTTGTTTTTATAATTGCTTGGAGTTATCATTGGGAATTGATAAAATATTAATTATCTGGAGACCTGGTGTGGCACTGTGGGCTAATGCATCAAACTACAAAGTCATTTGAAGTACAAGGTCAGTAGTTCAAGCTCAGCATCTGCTCTTTGGAAACCCTATACAGGGTCGCTATGGGTCAGAATCGACTCGACAGCACTTAACAACAACAACAACCCTCACTTTGGGTGGGGATAGAGATACTTAATATTTTGTAAATTCCCAATGATTGCCCGAAGCAATTATAAAAACAAACAAGCTAACACTTTGGAGTCCTGGCATGGCGTTGTGGGTTAATGTGCCAGACTGCAAAGCCATTTGAACTGCAAGGTTGGTGGTTCAAGCTCACTAGCTGCTCCTCGGAAACCCTATACAAGGTCACTATGGATCAGAATCAACTCTACAGCACTTCACAACAACAACAACAACCCTCACTTTGATCTGCCAGTGAACATTTAAACCCAAGTGACTGGATAACACAGCCGTTGTTTTTGAGATCATCCTGTTGTACAATTGTGTTACTTGGAGTCTTGTCAAAGATAGGTTGAGAGCAGGTGGTTATGTTGAAACAGTGAGGTCATTCAGTGTCACAAGAGGTATCTTTTCGGGTGAGGACGAGGACTCAGCACTTGCACCTTTACCTGACACACTCTGCCTGGTCCTGCACTAACCTCACAATCACTACTGCATTTGACTCCATTGCTGCTGCCACTGTGCCAATCCATCTGGTTGGCAGTCTTCCTCTTTTTCTCCCACCCTCCATTTTACCAAACATGATATTTTTCTCCAGGTACTGGTCCCTCCTGATAATATGTCCAAATTATGATAGACCAAGTCTGGCCATCCTGGCCTCCAAGGAGCACCAAATCTGTACTTCCTCCAACACAGCTTGGTTTGTTCTTTTGGCAGTCCATGGTACTTTCAATATTTTCCTCCAACACCATAACTCAAATGCATCAATTCGTCTATGGTCTTCCTTATTCACTGTTCAATTTTCACATGCATATGAGGTTATTGAAAATACTATGACTTGGGTTAAGCACACCTTAGCCCTCATACTGACATCTTTGCTCTTGAACACTTTTAAAAGGTTTTGTGGAGTGTATTTGCCTAATAAAATATGTTGTTTGATTTCTTGACTGTTGCTTCCATGAGTGTTGAGCGCTGCCGTGAGCAAAATGAAGTTTTTCGTAATTTCAATCTTTTCTCTGCTTATATGGGTGTTGTTTATTGTTACAGTAGTGAAGATTTGTGTTTTCTTTACATGGTGGTGCAACCCATACTAAAGGCCATGGTCTTTATTATTCATCACTAAGTATTTTAAGTCCTCTTTGCATGGTTGTATCATCTACATATTGCTGGCTGTTAATGAGTCTTCCTCAAATCCTAATGCCACAATTTTCTTCATATAATAATCCAACTTCCAGATTGAATAAGTATGGTGAAAGAATACAACCTTGACATACATCTTTCCTAATTCTGTGTTCCCTTGTTCTTTTCAAACAACTGCTGCTTGGTCTATAGGTACAGGTTCCTCCTGAGCATAATAAGTGTTCCCAAACACTAATTTTCAGCAATGTATTCCATAGAATGTCATGATTCACACAATAGAAAGATTTATCATACTAAATAAAGCACAAGTAAACATCTTTCTGGTATTCTCTGCTTTCAGCCAAGATCCAGCTAACATCAGCAATAATATTTCTCGTTCCGAGTCCTCTTCTGAATCCGGTTTGAACCTCTGGAAGTTCTTGGTCAATGTATGGTTGCAGCTATTTTTGTATTATCTTTAGTAAACTTTTACTGGCATGAACTATTAATGATTTTGTTTGGTGATTTCCAAATTCCATTGGGTCACCTCTCTTTGGAATGGGCACAAACATGGATTTCTTCCAATCAGTTGGCCAGCTATCTTCCAAATTTCTTGGCATTGATGAGTGAGTGCCTCCAGTTCTGAATTAGTTTGTTGAAAGATTTCTACTTGCATTCAATCAGTTACCTATAACTTGTTCTTTGCTAATGTGCCTTCAATGCACCTTGAACTACTTCCTTCAGTGTCATTGGCTCTTGATCATTTGCTACCTCTTTAAATGGCTGAACATGGACCATTTCTTTTTTGCTGCAGTTATTCTGTGTATTCCTGTCAACTTATTTTGATGCTTTCTGCATCATTCAATATTTTGCCCAGTTTGTTGTTCTTAAGTGCTGTCGAGTGAGTTCCATCCCATAGCCACCCTGTACAGGGTTTCAGAGGAGCAGCTGGTGAGCTTGAACTGTTGACCTTGTGGTTCAAACCGACTTTGCAATCCAGTACATTAATCCACAGGGCCACATGGTGACTGGTGATGGCTATGTGCCGTGGAGTCAGTTCTGACTCATAGCGACCCTGTACAGGGTTTCCAAGGCTGTAAATCTTTACGGGAGCAGAATGCTTCATCTTTCTCCCACAGAACAGCTGGTAGTTTTGAACTGCTGACCTTGCGGTTTGCAGCCCGATTTGTAACCACAATGCTGCCAGAGCTCCTTACAGATGCCACATAGAATCCTTCAATATTTCAAGTTGAGGCTTAAATTTGTCTTCAGTTCCCTCAGCCTAAGAAATGCTGAGCATGTTTTTCTCTTTTAGTTTTCTAACTCCAGGTCTTTCCACATTTCATTATAATACTTGACTTTGTCTTCTTGAGCTGCCCTTTGAAATTTTCCATTCAGCTCTTTTAGCACCTCATTTCTTCCATTTGTTTTAGCATCTCTATGTTCAAAAGCAAGTTTCAGAATCTCTTCTGACATCCATTTTGGTCAGTTCCTTCTTTCTTCTCTTCTTAATGACCTTTTATTTTCTCCCTATAGAATGCTCTTGATGTCATACCACAACTCTTCTGACCTTCAGTCTTTAGT